AGACAATGTCCGATGTAAATATTAACTAACAGACAATGTCCAGTGTAAATATTAACTAACAGACAATGTCCGATGTAAATATTAACTTGCAGACAATGTCCAGTATAAATATTAACTAACATACAAAGTCCAGTGTAAATATTAACAGACATTACTTACAGTCAATATCAAGTATCCAGTATCTAGTATCAAACTCCATGGTATAGCTGCATCCAGTATCCAGTTTTATGGTATCAGCTGTATATCCAGTATCCAGTATTCTGTGTGCAGGTATTATGGCGCCCCCAATCTAAGCCGAATTGTGGCCTTTTAGTGTTTTTGTAAGGAAAGATGCAAGATTATTTGGTATAATTACTGGTTATAAGATAATTATCCCTTACTACCTTTCACAAGGTTTAGATACAGAACCTTTAGCTTCGTTCAAAATATGTAGAAAGCTTGGACCCTCATCCATTCTTTAATATTAGCAGACATTTGGTAACTAACATTTTGGTAACTAACAATTTGGTAACTAATAATTTGGTAACCTCACAATTTGCAATTTGGTAACAAACAATTTTTGCGGATTTTTCATGCTAAACATTTAAGAAATCCTGTATATTGTTTTTTTCTCTCTATGTATTCAACAAATAAATATATAAACAATGATTGTGAAGCATAAGTTTCAATAATAAAATCGTTAGTTACCAAATTGTCGGTAACCAAATTTTAGGTTACCAAAATGTCAAGTTACCGAATTGTTGGTTACCAAATTGTTGGTTACCAAATTGTTGGTTACCAAATTGTCAGTTACAAATTGTCGGGTTACCAAATTTCAGGTTACCAAATTGTTAGTTACCAACTTATTAGTTACCAAATTGCTAGTTACCAAATTGCTAGTTACCAAAATGTTTGTTACCAAAATGTTAGTTACCAAATTATTAGTTATCAAAAATAATCAAGGGAGCAGGGGGGAGTGGGAGGGATGATGGGAGATTGAGGGGTTCTTTCACGCCCCATATCTCAATATTTCAATAAACAAATCCTTCACACTTCTCTTTCTTCTTCTTATGCCTCAACTCCCCTTGTTGTTCTCCCAATGCCCTTATCCTCAGTCTGTTTTTATATATTTACAATTCTACTTCTCTTGATATATCTAATTATATATAAACCTCTATGCATATAAATGCAAGCAAGCTAAATCTAGTTTTCGTCCACGTTTTTAGTAAAGTAAAATTGTAAACGTAGTTTAAATGTGTCTTTCCTTGAAAATTATCATGTTATATAAGAAAGGTAGCAATATTGGACTTTTATTGGACTTATTTAACATGTTCTTTGCCAATCATTTTTACATTATTCGGATTTTTAAATATAGAAGAACATTTTTTTTAAAATATTTAAAAAATCAAATTCCATGAAGAAAATGAAAAAAATATAAAAATGTTCGGAAATCGATGAATACTTCTATTCCGGATCAAATGAGCCAGAAGATTGGGATTTAGTAGATTTGCTTCTGGGTAAATTTTACCTACAGTCCCTTTATTCACAGTCTCTCCGGTGGTTGCAGTGCAGTATTTGCAGGTTGGATTGATAAATATCCATGTATACTTGTATGCTGGGACAGATTGGGATCAACCGCTCCATAGTAGAGTTAGAGTACGGGAGAGGAGATATACAGCTCCCTATCCTTTCTTATACCCGTAGTCTAGTTATTTGGTTTAGAGACTTCCTTGTGTTTTGCTCAACTTTTTTCTTCTTGGTTTGTTATAAATACATTGGTATTCTATTATTTATCTATTTAAATATATGTTATATAATATATATATGCCCTTCAAGGTACTGTAGGCACGGTACTCTTTGAAGGATATATAGTTGAACTATATTCTTTTTTTTCTATCTAAAAATTGATCGTTGAACTATATTCTTTTTTTTCTATCTAAAAATTGATATTCCTCAATTGTGGTTTCTCAGTCAAAGCTACTACTTGAATTATGCAGCAGAGACAAAGAATGATAATGAGAGCATATAATTTTGACATCAAATATTATAATATCTTCAATCTTAATACAAGATACCCGGCTTCAGGGACTTCAGGTACGACTGTACATATTTATTTAGTCTTCTAGTTAACTTACAGCTGTACACATATTATTTTTGTCAAAATCTATCATCCATATTGGTAAGAGTACTAATGCGGAAGATATTTTTTAAAGGGAGTGTTCGCGAAAAATGAAAGGGGGTATAGGCTTAATGCGATAAAAAAGCGCTTTTGATCGCTAATAATCTTACTTCTATCTGTTGCGTCTTAAAGGAGAAAATTGTTAAAGACCGCTCATACCGAATAACTTAGCGCCCATACAAATTCAGAAAATTGCCCCCCGGCTTTCAATTAGTTTTGACCGAACTAATTATAAATAAATTTGCTTTAAACCTTTCTACAAGAACCTGTATGGGTTTATCTGAAAATTAGACAAGTTGATAGAATAAACATTTTCGTAATTTTGCACAGACCGTCAGGTGTAAACAGTTGGAATTTTTCTACATTTAATTCTCTTGTTCTCGACTAAAAGAGACTGTAAGCTTAATTTCAAGTAAACCTTCATGCAAAGATGGCAATGCCTGATTCAAAACGGTTTAGTTGTTGTGACTCACATACATAATCTTATAATCAATTATAATTTCTATCCCATAAGTTGACCCCGCCCCTTCCCCTATGACCCATCCTACACGATGAACCTGAAATGAATTCTCTGGTGAGGGAACGTAACCACGTCTCAGATATAATCTGATCTAACCTCTCCCTGAGAATTGTCATGTTTCTAATCCCGGAAGATGAAAACACTCCTCTGTGCAATATTCAGTCCTCCGTTCTATTTAAATACACCAAACTATGTACTGTTCATCGAACTTTGCACACTGTACAGGTAAATCAGCTGTACATGTAGAGTCTGAGTACATAGTTAGGGAACTGCATTCAGTTAGTCGTTTTTTTCCTTTATCGTCTTTGGCATAACATTCGCAGCAAAAAACGATGCAAAAACGACCCAAAAACGATGCAAAAACGATGCAAAAACGAACGTGTGGAAATGGAAACGATCGTTTTCAGATCGTTTTCAGATAGTTTTCAGATCGTTTCTCAAAATTTTTGTTTAGGATAAATTTATTTTAAAGTTTAATAAAAGAAAACTTTAACATAATACAGTTTTTAAATCTTGAAAGTAATATTAAATTTTTTCTTAAAACAATCCCAAACTATAAATTCAACACAATACACAGTACTACATCTAGTACACCGTACTACATCTAGTACACAGTACTATATTCAGTGCAATCTACTATATTCAGTACACCGTACTATATTCAATACACCGTACTATATTCAGTGAACTGTACTATATTTCTTGCAATGTACTATATTCAGCACACCGTACTATATTCAGTACACTGTACTATATTCAGTACACCGAACTATATTCAGTACACCGTACTATATTCAGTACATCGCACTATATTCAGTACACCGTATTATATTCAGTACATCGTACTATATTTCTTGCACTGTACTTTATTCAGAACACCGTGCTATATCCAGTACATCGTACTATATTCAGTGCGCTGTACTATATGTCTTGCACTGTACTATATTTCTTGCAATATACTATATTCAGTACACTGTACTATATTCAGTACACCGTAATATATTCAGTACACCGTACTATATTCAGTACAATGTACTATATTTCTTGCAATGTACTATATTCAGTGCACTGTTCAATATTTCTTGCAATGTACTAATTTCAGTGCACTGTACTAAATATCTTGCAATGTACTATATTCAGTACACTTACTATATTTCTTGCAATGTACTATATTCAGTGTACTGTACTAAATTTCTTGCAATGTACTTTATTCAGTGCACTGTACTATATTTCTTGCAATGTACTATATGCAGCGACTGTACCATATTTCTTGCAATGTACTATATTCAGTGCACTGTACTATATTTCTTGCAATGTACTATATTCAGTGGACTGTACTATATTTCTTGCAATGTACTATACTCAGTACACCGTACAATATTCAGTACACCGCACTATATTCAGTACACTGTACTATATTCAGCACACCTTACTACATTCAGTACCGTACCGTACCGTACTATGTGCACTGTACTATGTTTCTTGCAATGTACTATATTCAGTACACCATAGTATATTAAATACACCGTACTTTATTCAGTACACTGTACTATATTCAGTTCACCGTACTATATTCAGTACACCGTACTATATTCAGTGCACCGTACTATATTCAGTACAACTTACTATATTCAGTACACCATACTATATTCAGTACACCGTATTATATTCAGTACACCGTACTTTATTCAGTATACCGTACTATATTCAATACATCGTACTATATTCAGTACGCCGAACTATATTCAATACACCGTAACTACATTTTCTTCCATTGGTATGTGGTATAAGGGACTTCTTCATTCTTTTCAACAGAGTAATTCACAAAAATGTATATTAGGACGTGTTGGATGACAAAAGTAAAGGCTAGAGCTAGGTTTAAACAGAACAAGGAACGAGCGCTGAGACGAGAACACGAGAACACGAGAATGGTAAGAGCAAGGGTAAGAGAGTGGTAGCGGATACTAAGAGAGTAATTCCCAATAATATATCAATCTAAAGCGTAGTATCTCCAGGATAAGTTTGATGTGAACAAGGAGAGCGCGCTACAGTGAAAAAAAAACTAGATTGGCGGGAAAGAAGGAGAAGGGAAAGAGGGAGGATGGAAAGAGAGAAAGAGGGGAAAATGAAGAAAAGAGAGGAAGGGTTATGGTAACGAGAGGAAGGGTTATGGTAAAGAGAGGAAGGGTTATGGTAAAGAGAGGAAGGGTTATGGTAAAGAGAGGAAGGGTTATGGTAAAGAGAGGAAGGATTATGGTAAAGAGAGGAAGGGTTATGGTAAAGAGAGGAAGGGTTATGGTAAAGTTTACAAGGTTGACTCACCGGTACGCACTCACAGTGTACGCAAAACATGATTCCGAAGGGAGGTCCGAGGTCAGGATGCCAGGTGTCCTCAAGTTCATGAGATTGACCTCCAAACCTACACTCTGAAATAAAGGCTATGGAAGAGATGATAAAGAAAAATAGGTTTTAATTTATCTATATACAGAAGGTTTCATGTAGGTATCTATATAGAAAGTAATAATACAAGGTGTCTGTATAGAAAGTAATAATACAAGGTGTCTGTATAGAAAGTAATAATACAAGGTATCTACATAGAAAGGAAGGTTACAACTACAAGAAAACATAAAATTTTAATCCACATTTAATTTACATAATATAGTTTTGTATTTGGAGACGCGTTCTCTTTAAGTATCTTTTTAGTATAGATTATTGAAATTACACATTTAATAAAATATAATTTTTTCAGCAACATGATCCTTACAGCTGCATAAAGATAACGTTTAAGAAAATTGAATGGTAGCATTTTCGCTTTGTAATGAAACTGTGGAGTGTAATTTACCGAGAAGCTAAACCTAAAATGTATTTTGCATAATGAATTTACAAAACTTGGCCAATTTAATTTTGTAGAAATAAAAATAATTTTTAATGTTGAGTAAAGGAAAAAAATTAAAAAGTATTCCTGCTTTATAGTTTAAAGGGACTGAAAGGGAACCCTATTTACAAAGTGGTATGTACGATTCAAGGGAACCCTATTTACAAAGTGGCATGTACGATTCAAGGGTACCCTATTTACAAAGTGGCATGTACTATTCAAGGGAACTTTATTTACAAAGTGGTATGTACGATTCAAGGGTTCCCTATTTACAAAGTGGCATGTACGATTCAAGGGTACCCTATTTACAAAGTGGCATGTACTATTCAAGGGAACCGTATTTACAAAGTGGTATGTACTATTCAATGGTACCCTATTTACAAAGTGGTATGTACGATTCAAGGATACCCTATTTACAAAGTGGTATGTACGATTCAATGGTACCCTATTTACAAAGTGGTATGTACGATTCAATGGTACCCTATTTACAAAGTAAAGTTTCAAAATAAAATGATAAACTACTCCCAAATATACCTAGTTAAGATGAAAATGTTAAACTACTCCCTTATTCCTACTTTTGAAATGATAAACTGCTTCCTGCTAGAAGAAGAAAATGATAAACTTCTCCCTACTATTCCTTGTTTAAAGATGAAAATGCTAAACTACTCCAAACTACTCTTAGTTTAAAGTTGAAAATGAAAAACTACTCCAAAATATTCCTAATTTAAAGATGAAAATGATAAACTACTTCCTACTATTCCTAGTTAAGGATGAAAATGATAAACTCCTTCTACTATTCCTAGTTAAAGATATAAATAATAAACAACGTCCAAATATTCCTAGTTAAAGATGAAAATGATAAACTACTTCTTACTATTCCTAATTTAAAGATGAAAATGCTTAACGATACCCTGCTATTCCTATTTTAAAGATGAAAATGATAAACTACTTCCTACTATTCCTAGTTTAAAAATAAAATGATAAACCACTTCCTACTATTCCTAGTTAAAGATGAAACTAATAAACTACTCCCAACTACTCCTAGTTTAACGATGAAAATGATAAACTACTCCCTTCTATTCTTAGTTAAAGATGAAAATGATAAACTACTTCCTACTATTCCTAGTTTAAAAATAAAATCATAAATTACTCCCTACTATTCCTAGTTACAAAATAAAATAATAAACCACTTCCTACTATTCCTAGTTTCTAAATAAAATAATAAACTACTTCCTACTATTCCCAGTTTCTAAATAAAATGATAAACCACTTCCTACTTTTCTTAGTTTAAAAATAAAATTATAAACTACTTCCTACAATTCCTAGTTAAAGATAAGAATGATAAACTACTCCAAACTACTCCTAGTTTAACGATGAAAATGATAAACTACTCCCTTCTATTCCTAGTTATAGATTAAAATGATAAACCATAACATAATATTCCTAGTTTGAGATAAACAATGAACATAATAAGCTACTCACTACTATTCCTAGTTTAAAGATAAAATGGTAAAGTACTCCCTACTCCCTACTATTCCTAGTTTAAAGATAAAATGGTAAAGTACTCCCTACTCCCTTCTAAAAGTTGAAAATGAGAAAGAACTCCGTTGTCTATAGTTTAAAAAATGTGTGAAAATGATTCAACTAATCTAAATTTTTCCAAGTTTTCGGAGTATGTTATTTGGGAGTATCCGTCCTCTAGCTTGTAAAACAGATTATTGCAGGGTTCAAACATTCAAGCTTCAATAGTCTAATTCTCTTTACAGTGCAATATATCGTGCATGGAGAAACTATAACGTTACGAAAACTGAAATTTTATCCTGATCATGATAATCTATGCACCGTCTACTAATCTATACCTGATGAACTATATTTCTGGGTGTCATCTATGCTCCCGGAGATTGAGTTTATTGAGGGTTTTTGTTTCTTCCGACTGAGGGCGGATTGAGAGAGGAGAAGTATAACTAGGAAACACGGCCACATATCCTATATACACTTTAATCCAATATTCACATCACTCCGCTCTATACTGCTGTCTACTTGTTACTGTGAGAGAACTACTAGATATTGGGCACTCAAGCCGAGTTGGGCGGTGAGGGACACGTGCCACTAGGCCCAGGCAGGCCTAGTCTGAAACCGGGGGCCTAGTAGGCCTTGCTCGTACCGGCAAGGGGGGTGGGGGGGACGAGTTACAGGGTGGTAGATTTTATTTTACACTTAGTTTATGTTTTATCTCGTAATCTAAATATTTTTATTTGTCATATCTATATCTATTTTTTATTCTTTAAACTATGTCTGAATGTGAATCGGAACTCTAAAACTGTAAAACATTTTTTATCTTTCATGATGTTTCAAGTATTTGATTAGTATAATAATTAAAATTTAGTCAAAATTAATGATTTGTTTAAAACGTTTGCAAAAACAGGAAATTTGAAGAAGAAAAAAACAAGAAAAAAACCCATCGATGTTCAGATTTCAAAACCGGGTCTACTTTTAAGTGTCACAACACCTTCGCTTTTGGTGGGTCGTTTTTTTCTGGATTTTATTTTTAAAGATTATTTAAAAAAAAAAAATTTATTTAAGATGGAAATGAGGTACTACCTAATATACTTAGTTAACGAGCTTAATTGTAAGAAAGTGAAATAAGCATAATAGGCCCTGAAAGGGACTGTATTCGTATTTTCCAGTGAAATAAGCATAATAGGCCCTGAAAGGGACTGTAAGGCCCTGAAAGGGACTGTATTCATATTTTCCAGTCACGTCATTTCTAAAAGTTCTATCGTGCACAGTCCCATTTATTTGATCCAGATTGAAAGCTTGAGAAGTGTTCTTAAAACTAAAATAAGGGATTTTTTGTTTCTAGAAATCCGCAAGTTACTAATTAAAAAACTGCAATTGGAAAATATTAATTTAAAAAAAAAGAAATCATTGATATCTCATTCATTAACTCATTCATCCTTGATCAGACAAAGCTTTCAGAGGTACAAGTGTTCAGTCACTTTAATACTGAGAATTGGTCTTGATGATAATTCATGTTCATATTCATATTAAATAACAATTACAGATAACTTATATTATCTTGTATTGTGTAACATTGTAAAATGTATCATAATTCAACAATCCACTGTGAACTAGACACAAGTAGAAGTTAAAATGTAAATACTGCTACGACTTCGGGACCTCGTAGCTCCACTAGTGAGAAAACAAATTTATCAGGTTGCAAACTAAAAATTCAAAACATTTTTTGATCTTCTCAAACTTTCTTCAATAGAGAAGTTAGAAACATTTAAGATCTCAATCTATCGTACAATTTACTTTTGTTTGACGTGAATCCACATTTAACTTGAAATGTAAATACTTGTCAATTCTTAGTTTGTTTCAGATTAAATATAGCTCTTTCTCGGTTAACGGTAGTGCAGTATTAAAAAATTAGAGGGTATCCGAATCAATTTTAAAATTGTATATGGTTACCCACAAATGATGAGACTGCAAAGACGACCGGAAACTCTTAAAATATGACGATTCCAAGGTTAAATTTATGGGTAACCATTGTACTTATTCAATATTTATATAAAGAGCATCCTATATCACATTGGATTGTCTCCAAGCTTTAACGCCAGAATACGGACATAATACGGACATAATACATGAAAAACTTAGTGTTTTCTGCAAGCAAATTTTAATACTGGCGCGCCTATACAATTTTTTAAAGTATTTTTATTTTTATTTTTAATTTATTGATGCTCTTCATGAACTGAATTAATTCTCCAGTATAGTTAAAAGCAAGATTATAATGCAAGGAAAGTTACTTTCAGTTGCGTATACTCTGCGAACATATTAAAACTAGTTCTCTCTGGGCGGAATTGTAAACAAGAATAGATGCATCAGTGTTCGTTTAGTATCTGAGGAGGTTTAAAGCATTAACTTTTGATAATTTTGATAATTCACATAAAAGATTCCTATGACCAGAATATTTCATTGATTTTTTATGTGAAAGATGGATCCCATGTCAGACTTACATATCCGTCTTGTGTTTACATTACCGCCCAGAGACAGTACGCTGCAGTACATCTTTTCTTACATTAGAACCTTGGTTAAAAGTATAGAATAAGATTTTTACTCTTTTTGAAATAAAAATAATTTTTTTTACAGAAACATTACATGGATTCTATGTAAAATGAAATTTTTAAGATTGGGCCGGCTTCAAAGTGTCGACACGCCTTAGCTTTTGATTTGATTTACAATGATAGCTTAAAAGCTTTGTCTGTTCAAGTATGAATTAGATATCAACATAGATAAAGATAGATTGCGCATAAGACGACATTTTTCATCTTGAAAGATATAAATGTACAGTGATGTTTTAAAGATATTCCTATTTTATAGATTAACTAGGTCGGTTGTGAACATTGGCTGTTCTTATGTCATTGAATACTTGTGGTGTACCTGAGTTGTGTAGAGAGAAATTCAAGTTAGCTTAGTCCTTCTCATGTCCTTCTTCAGTTCTCGTCAATATGATATATTGATATTCTCAAAATAAAATTCACTCCTGAGTGGTTTAATAATTATGAAATCCATTAAAACACCAAACCCCCCCGCTTATCATTGAAGTACACTTTGACCTCTAGAAGTATGAGTTCGCGGACTGTACTATTCTTGGTGATTTTGCGTACATAAGCTATCTATGTTTATTTAATAATCTATAGATATCAATGATTATGATTTTGAAAACTGATTATTTATAATTGTGTGTTCTCTACAAAAGTGATTTCCGCTCTTCTTCTGCACTCATAGCCTAAAAAATCGACAATATCTTCCAGATAATTTATCAGATAAATGTTTCAAGGGTACGGTTGTAAATCGTGTATTTCCATCTTTTGCATGGAGGGTCACCTAAAATTACGCTCACAGTCCCTTTAAAAGATGCATATAACATCACACACAAGGGTTTGTGAACAATAGGGTGTTGCCAATACCATAATTGAAAATATTTATTTCGTCCCGCATCCATCTTTTCTGGATTCAGTGTCAGATTCAGCTCAGAATCCTTTTCTGGATAAAGACAAGGTTGGTTTCAAGGAGTAGATAAACATGGAGACAGGGTTGGGTTCAAGGAGTAGATAAACATGGAGACAGAGTTGGGTTCAAGGAGTATAAAAACATGGAGACAGGGTTGGGTTCAAGGAGTATAAAAACATGGAGACAGGGTTGGGTTCAAGGAGTAGATAAACATGGAGACAGGGTTGTTTTCAAGGAGTAGATAAGCACGGAGTCAGGGTTTGTTCAAGGAGTAGATAAACATGGAGACAGGGTTGTTTTCAAGGAGTAAATAAACATGGAGACAGGGTTGTTTTCAATGAGTAGATAAACATGGAAACAGGGCTGGGTTCAAGGAGTAGATAAACATGGAGACAGGGTTGTGTTCAAGGAGTTGATAAACATGGGGATAAAGTTGTGTTCATTGAGTTCACAAAAAGTAAAATATAATAAAACAAATTATTACTTTTAATATAACATGGCTTTATTTTGTGCACTGTCCCTTTAAAAAATGAAATGACGCAATAACTGAGATAAGGTCTGATGTTTATTTTGAATTTATACGCCAAGAAACTGTGCAGTCTGCCCCCCTCTCCAATACAGAAGCAGATATAAAGCGATAACAGGATTGAGTGCACTTAGTTCAGCACTGCAATTGATTAAGTTGGCTCAGCTAGGTTAGATACAGTAGGTTATCTAGCTCATAGTATAGATACAGTATGTTCTCTAGCTCCTAGTACACATAAAGTATGTGCTCTATCTCCTAGTACACAAACGGTAGGTTCTCTAGATCCTAGTATACATACGGTAGGTTCTCTAGTTCCTAGTACACATACGGTAGGTTCTCTAGCTCCTAGTACACATAAAGTATGTGCTCTATCTCCTAGTACACAAACGGTAGGTTCTCTAGATCCTAGTATACATACCGTAGGTTCTCTAGTTCCTAGTACACATACTTTAGGTTCTCTAGCTCATAGTACACATACGGTAGTTTCTCTAGCTCCTAGTATAAATACGGTAGGTTCTCTAGCTCCTAGTACACATACAGTAGGTTCTCTAGCTCCTAGTATACATAAAGTAGGTTCTCTAGCTTCAAGTATACATACAGTAGGTTCTCTAGCTCCTAGTACACATACGGTAGGTTATCTAGCTCATAGTACACATACGGTAGGTTCTCTAGCTCCTAGTACACATATGGTAGGTTCTCTAGCTCCTAGTATAGATACAGTAGGTTCTCTAGCTCCTAGTACACATACGGTAGGTACTCTAGTTCCTAGTATACATACAGTAGGTTCTCTAGCTCCTGGTATACATACAGTAGGTTCTCTAGTTCCTAGTATACATACAGTAGGTTCTCTAGCTCCTAGTACACATACGGTAGGTTCTCTAGCTCCTAGTATACATACAGTAGGTTCTCTAGTTCCTAGTAAACATACGGTAGGTTCTCTAGCTCCTAGTATACATACGGTAGGTTCTCTAGCTCCTAGTATACATACAGTAGGTTCTCTAGCTCCTAGTACACATACGGTAGGTTCTCTAGTTCCTAGTACACATACAGTAGGTTCTCTAGGTCCTAGTATACATACAGTAGGTTCTCTAAATCCGAGGAATAACTATCTGTTTCTTTAACTAAACCAAAGGTTAGATTTCTCCCAGTATGTTTACCTAGAAACCTAGTATTTAACAAATATCTTAGTATTTACTATAAACTGCAAACAGTACAACAAACCTTCAACATTCTGCATTTCAATCCTCCAGCCTTCAAATTATTTTTAAAAATGTATGTTTTGATTTCTATTTATTGATACAGATTAGCCTAAAATAGCAATCCAAGCAAGAAAATATTATATTTTCTAGGGATTTACATTCAAGTGATTAAGCAAACATTGAGTATAAGATAAGGTTTGTACGCATTTTAATATTAGAAATTAGAACTGCTCAGAGCCCGGATCCTTCCTAGTTGTCTTTAAGAAGTATGTTTGTCTCCGTACTATAAAGTTTTGACCGCTCTATAGATGTCTCCCAAAGAGACAATGTGATTTTTTTTGCCGCTTCGCGCAGATAATCTTACTGAATCAACTTTAACAAAGTAACTGTTGCGCTGGGGCAAATTCAAAGATTTATTGAAACATGGAAAAACAGGAGAACAGAAGGAACATCACAAGTTGTTGTAGTTTATTTAAGTCCACAGAGATGAAGATAGCAGGGAAGAGAAGGATTGAACCACAATGGAGCAGCCTAGATGGAGCAGGGTCGATCCTAGGGTTAGGTCACCATTTTGTATAGATTGGATTGTAGCAATTATCCGTCTTATTTATATTGTTAGATAACAATTATGATTACAAAAATGATGTACAGGGTTATTCATAATACATTATTGGTTCTTTATCAACAATTATTTATTTCCTTGTTATTAACTTGATTTAATGTTAAATTTCTTTAATACTAAAATGTAAGGAACATTAGACCTGAATAATCGGTCAACTTGGGTTCAAGTCTAAAGATAGATACGGAGAAATTGTATGGTTGTGTATATATATTTTTAACTTTTAATTGCTTTTACTAACAATCTGTGTGTCTTACTCATAATTTTAGAATATCAATTTAAATCATTAAAAGTCTAAAACTATAACTCACTATATAATATAGATAAATTTTACCAAAAATTCTATTTTTCAATGCAGTAGCGCGTACTTGTTATTAGTGAATATATCATAAAGGTTTCCACTATAAATAGAGATCGCTCTCACTCATCAGATTTAAATTTACGCTGGGTGATTGGATTTTGAAATTTCATGAGAAACTCTAGCTCCAAAGGCAGTCTCTGTTCATGTATAAAAATATTTTTTCCAGTAAAAGGCCTTTTAACTTTCAGGGGAAAATATGAATTATAATAGGCACGGTAGTTTTTTATGTAGAACCTACCAAAAAGCATTTTCATCCACTCCTCTCATGTCCTTAATCTTCTCTATGATGACTATATACTTTGCTTGTCTGTTTGTTTGTTTGTAAACGTCAAAACGGCGGAACCGAGCCAGCGGGCCCAAGTTTTTGTGGGACCTTACGTGATTTTAGGGAATGTTTATGAATGATCGAATTTTCGAAAATTTGCTTTTTAACAAAATTCGATTTTTGATAATTTTAAAAATCAATGAAATTTTCTATAAAATCCACAAATTTTCGTTTTACAGTGTATTCAAAGAGAAAATGTTAACAAATGAAATAGAAGATGGGCGCGAAGCGCCCTAAAAGCTAGTGATAAATATTCTTCAGAACAATGCAACTAAGTTACCAGGGCACAGGTGGTTGATCATCGCGGATTTTTCATATTGGTGGATTTGCTATTTTATAAGCTGTTAAAAAAGTCTCAATTAATAATGGACAACCTTTAGGGTATAAATTAAGTCAGGTGAAAGCTGAAAGGTGGTAACGGAAGCCAATTATTTGATAGAGTTTGTTAATCCCAGAAATGATTGGGAAATTGAAATGAACCCAAGCAAAAACCCAGAATTTGATATACATCATTAATGGGGTTGTATACATGGTCTAGGGGGGGGGGGTAAAGCGGTTGATTTTTGTAAATTTTTCAGAAGAAAACAAGTCAAATCAATTGAATGAGCTAATACTTGAAATGTTTAATTGAAATGATTCTTTAAGCTATTGTGGATTCTACTATGAAGAGATATATTTAAATTTTTGGTATGCTAAGCCATATATGGTAAATAAGAAATAAATACAGTAAGCAGGAGATCAAAACGCGTGCCGCGGAGTATGAAAGGTTGAGGCTTGGAGATGAGGCGAGAAGCACAAATATGGTTTTGCAGGGCTTGGAGGTCATTCTGTGTATCAGGACGCTCTAGAGGTCATTTCGTGGGGCTCAATGGCGCTCAACACCCACTCCCTCATCAGACCTAAGCTATGAAATCCTGTACTTGTAGGGTGGATGCACACTTTTTGTAGGTCGAATGCACACATTTTGTAGGCCAGATGAGATGCACAAATTTTGTAAGTCAGAAACACTCTTTTTGTAGATTAATTGCAAACTTTTGTTAGGTCTGATGCACACCTTTTGTAGGTTGGATTAGTTTAAGTAAATAGGATGCACTCTTCCTGCAACGGTCGGATAAAATCTAAGGTCGGAAAACCTATATATTTCTGAAAGGATGCCAACGGACCTACAGCTTTTTTAACCAAACGGAACCAAAACACGTGCAAACTACTCGATTTTTAGGTCAGATAAACCTTTAGGTTAGAATCACTTATGTCGGTTTACACGACATCGTTAAAGTAAACCATGGTTAAAAAAACTGTCGTCTTCGATCAGTTTACCATGGTTAGAATTCGATTCAACCATGGTGAAAATGTCTTAAGTTTCGGCCTCTGGGAACTTTATTTTTCTTACCGTGTTTTAAGACAAGAAAAATGAAGACGACATTCATACATATATTCTTTACTGGATATCCATTATTTGTATGCATTAAACCATCGAGATATTAGTAATAGAGGGGGCATCTGGAATTTTAGACTTCTTGTTGTACAGCCACTGTACACAATGACCCGATCAGAAATTCTACCTGGGGGGATCATAATTCGTAGATCCGTTTTGAAAGTTATTGTTTGAAAGTGAAAGCAAAGAAAACAAGTCCATATGGTTTTAGTATAAAAATGAGACATGACAAATAGAGAAAAAAATAAAATCCTTCTCCTTAACCCTATCTCTGCTGGGGTACTTGAGAACCAGAATATGCTGGGGGGAGGGGGGTCAATTTGACCGGTAACCGCCAAAAAAGTCCTTGGAAAAAAGTTTCCGGCAAAAAAGTCCTAAAATTTCACACTGTAAAAGTCCTGTGGAAAAAGGTCCTTTTATTAAAAAGTCTCCGGAAATAAAGTCCTACCAATTCGAGACTTTATTTTCTAGGACGGCACCCGTTGGTCTAAAAACCCCTGGAAACCAGGCAGCGGCCGAACGCAGTAGCACGCGCATGCCGCAAAAAATTATGACAGAGAGAGCCAGTTCTAGCCGCAGCGCGCTGCCCAGAAAGTGTCTAATCCTTACCTAACCCTAAAATATGTACTAATCACTCGGCATCATTGATAATCATTGATAGGGGATGCTGAGCGCCAAAATATCTTCCCCCTGTATACGCCTCTAAAGACGCTGTAAAATGTTATCAAAATAATCTGTGCTGAACTCAGCAATTCTTTATCATGCACATTACATACTGTGGGTTAATTATAAGCATTAAAACGAACAGACGGAAATTGGACAGAGAGACTTTCTTCAACTTCAGTATTCAATCTTTTTCCTGTTCTCAGTATCTCTTCTAGCCCAAGTCAGTCAGCTTAAAAAAAATTCTCCAGGTCCAGGCTCTCCAGCAAAGGAAGAGATTTAACTCCGCCCTTTAATCCATATCTTTGTTATTTCTGTGCAAGACACGTCTAGGTCTCTGATCTTACTAGTTACTACCAGAGATTGTCAGAATCTCCCCCAGTCCTTCATCTGTCAATTTATGACAATAAGATAGGTTCAGTGTCTCTAGGCTTGGAAGAGATTTAGCTTGCTTGAGATTTAGATCTCCGAGTTCACTCTTAGATTTTCTCACCATTTCTGCCAGTCCTCCATATGTTAGTTTTCCCCAACCAGACCGTTTCAGTGTCTCCAGGTATGGAAGGGACTTTACTCCTGCATGATGGAATCCAGTACCAGTTATTCTAGTTTGGGATAGATTTAGAAGTCTGATTTTACTCCCAGATATTTTCAGTATCTCCACTAGTCCTTCATCCGTCAGGTTACGACAACCGGCCAAATTTAGTGACTCCAGGTTTGGAAAAGACTCTAATCCTTGATGGAGTCCCATCCCAGTTATACTAGTCCTAGATATGTTAACAGGAGCGGATACATGATTTAAGGGAAGGGGGTCCAGATTTTAAAAAAAAATTTAAGATAGTTATTTTTTTCTGTTTTGCACTAGGTTTTTTCCCTTAAGTGCTATTGAGAAGCTATTCTGAAATCTCAGGGGGGGGGGTAAAAAGGTCGTGCCCCCCCCCCTATATCCGCCCCTGTACATTAAGACTTCTGAGTTCTTTCCCAGAAATACTCAGTATTTCCACCAGACCTACATCTGTTAGTATATAACAACCGGACAGGTTCAGTATCTCCAGGTTTGGAAGAGATTTAACTCCTTCCACAAAACCAATCCCTGTAATACTAGAACCAGATACATCTAATTCTCTGAGAGTACTCCTGGATCTGATGAGTATCCCAATCAGTCCTTGATCTGGAAACCAATCCCTGTAATACTAGAACAAGATACATCTAATTCTCTGAGAGTACTCCTGGATCTGATGAGTATCCCAATCTGATGAGTATCCCAATCCCATTTCCTCGGATTCAGAGTCTTTAGGTTTGGAAAAGTGCTGGGAAGTCAAGTAAATATATCTCTTGTAGTCTTCACGTTGTCGATAGTAATAGATCTTAAATTCAGATTTGAGAATCCTATCAAGAAGATTTGATCCTTCTCTTCGTCCTTAGTTAAACCGCAGCGAACATCTTCAAACTCATTGTCAGAAAATTTTACATTGATAGATTCCAGCTCCTGATGTATTTGAACCACAACCAAGCATCAATACCTAATATGGAATTTTGAACGTTAATTCAAGTTATTTATATTTTGTTTATAAAATATTCAATTGAAACCTTTCCCACATGATAGAAAATTTGTTTTATAATGAATTCTTGTTTTATAATGAATTTTCGACCAACGATCAATTTTCGCCTTTTACCTGTTTTATCCTTAATAAACATTTCGATTTAAAGGAAATTGTTTGAACTTTCAAATAAATTCTTACATTTCAACCAGCTTAACAATGATGTAAAAATAGTATACAAAGGATCAGAAATCAGAACTTTTCTGTTGTGATTCTCGGTATCAAGCTTTCATCTCCATCTCATGCAGACCTACGGATATTCCGTAATTGTCCCACCCAGAGTTTACCTTGAATGCTTTTTAATTTCGTTTGTAATTCTTCTCAGTTTCGTAGAAAATATTCTTTCATCAATCCACCAAACTTTGAAGGTGTTCTCCAGCTCATTAATCCGTCTCAGCAAGGTTCTAGATACTCTCTCCTTTTTATCCAGTAATTATAATCAGCGCATTATTATTGTTATCTGATTATTTAAGATGACATGTTATAAATTTAATGGATTTGTTTCTGCAATTTTGAAACCATTAATTTCTATTGCAACGGCAGGAAGTTTTTAGATTGAACTGAAATAAAATATAATTAATTTTAAGGAATAAATAATTAATATCTACACATATATATTATTTACAGGTTCAGGTTCTCCAAACTTTGGAAGGTAGGACAAAGATAACATTAAGAATGGGTTAAATAAGATTGAGCATTCTATAGGCTTCCTACTCAAATTTACTGCATGGGCGTACTGGAGGTTTAGCCTATGTTGGTGAACTCTGGCGCGCGTAAGGGCGTCGAATTTCTTTTTGGTTCATTCCTCCCCCTAAAATACCGGTATTAAGAAGGGAAAAAAAGTGTTAAAACTAAATATTAATCCTGTAAAGGCACATATTTTAAAATCTTTTTTCAAGGGCTCTTCAAAAATGTAGCTTTAACCCTAAATCTAAAAAAATATGAAAAAATCTTAAAGTACTCTTCCTTAAAGGGAGTGACTGGCAATGTATGGTAGTTGAACTGAGATTGCATTATTATTGAGAATTTTTTAAGGATTCATTAAAGAACTATCAGACGTTTTTTTATTTGTTCAGCAAGAGCAAAAAATCAAAACTATAATCCTCATTGATTGTTAATTTTGGAGGGATGATTTTTTCAGAATCGGTTTTATAAAAATTATTCAAAAATTATTAAATTCAAAAGTAAAATATTTCTACAGTTAACTAATTAGATGTTTAGGAACATATTTCTCATTAGAAATTTGTCAATAAATAAATGATAGAATCAATTGTTTCTTTTTCATCATTATATTGATTTTCTTATTCTTTATGAATGTGTTCGCAGATTTCTTTAAATTCTTGAAATGTCGTCTTTTCATTAAAAATTCCCGGAAATCTAGAGACAATGGTTTTGAACAATAAGACATTACAGAAACCAATAAATAAATGAGATTACTTATTTTTGATGATAAGAGTTAATTTTTGTTTGCTTCCTGTTCCTAAAAAAACTATAGAATTTTTTGTTACATTTTTCGTGGTGGTCATTGAATAATTTAAATAAAACTGAAACTTAAAATCAGCCCTTCAAAAATGTACAATGAATGAGGATTTAAAGATTGCATTTGCGCTCTTGCTGAACAAATATGCACCGTAAAAACATCTGATCAGTCTCAAATGAATCCTAAAAAAAATCTCAATAATACTGCTATCTCAGTTCAACTACCGGTCACTCCCTTTAAAGTCGAAATATTTCTGTGTGTAGTGTTCCTAATCCTACAGTGCACCCCCTTTCCTTGAATTTGTCCCCCCGCCCCCTTTTCTTTATAAATTATCTGATCCCACTGCTCCCCAACGAGGTTATAGTACAGAGAGTGATGTTGTTCGCTAATACTTTACTAATTGTACAGGCCATGTACTCCACTTCCAAAGGTCAATCTGTTTATTACAGTACTCGGGGGTGATTTCTGAAAATATTTATTTTCATTTAAGCAGAAAAAAGTTTTCAATCAAAAAAACTCTGGGCTACATGGATCTCCGTAATTTATTTAACTAAAAAATAGATAACATTTCTTTATTTTCAACTACACTTATAAAGGAAACTTAAACACTAATAATTCTAACTAATATTGGAATATCTTACTAAAAATTGGTTACTTTAAAAGACTTTTATTCATAAATTGTCATACAATTTTTGAATCAAGCATGAAAGTACTTGATTTGAAAAACCAGGGGATTCATTAACTTTTGCACTCCAGTCTCTCATGTGACAAACAATCTTCTGAAAAGTTCCGAACAAACCTAAAAATAAAAGATTTATCAAATATCAAACTATTTCAACGATTACTAGACTAATATTATATTTCAATTGCGAACAAGGGCGTATACAGAAATAAATGTTAAAAGTAGAGCACAAGAGCTTTCCAATGATGTATCATTTGTCATATTTGGACATCAAACATGGGACTTAGAGGGGGGGTCAAATTGACCCCCCCCCCAGCATATCCTGGTTTTCAAGTACCCCAGCAGGGATAGGGTTAACTCTGGGTCAAACAACGTAAACCCAGATATGAATTTTAGATGAAATCCGAGAAAAAATTGTAAATAAGATTTAAGTCTAATCATCAATTGATGAGAAAGATTAAAAATGTAAGTTCAATATATTAGGCCTGGGGGCATGTTTACTAAACATGGGGGTATATTCATAGGGTTCCATGCCCCCTTTAGTACACCCCTGGCTTAGGGCCAGGGGAAGCCATTTGTCGTGGGACACACCGTATGTTACAGTAGTTATACTTTAACTCATGGCATTTCATGTAAATTAGTTCTTGTTAATCCTTGGTAATCCGTGTAGTTTAATCCTTGGTGATGGTAATCCTTAAAGTTAAGTCCTATAATCATCCTTTTGGTTGAATCCTCGGTCGTCCTTGTAGTAAAATCCTTGGTTATCCTTGTAGTTAAATCCTTGGTCATCCTTGTAGTTAAATCCTTGGTCATCCTTGTAGTTAGTAGAAAGCAGTTGGATGTTAACACCTCCTCTCTCTAAGAGAAAGCATGCAAAATGCTTGCAGAATATATTCAGGACTAGGGCCGCAACCCTTATATAACCTTTTTACTGTCAACGAGAATGGGTTCACACCCTTTGCTAATGGTGGATATCAAAGTCTACTACAGTCAACGAGTATGGGTTCACACCCTTTGCCAATGGTAGAGGTAAAAGTCTACTACAGACAACGAGTATGGGTTCACACCCTATGCTAAAGGTAGATGTCAAAGTCTACTACAGTCAACAAGTATGGGTTCACACCCTTTGCTAATGGTAGAGGTCAAAGTCTACTACAAACAACGAGTAGGGGTTCACACCCTATGCTAAAGGTAGATATCAAAGTCTACTACAGTCACCGAGTATGGGTTCACCCTTTGCTTATGGTAGATGTCAAAGTCTACTAACAGACAACGAGTATGGGTTCACACCCTTTGCTAATGGTAGATGTCAAAGTCTACTTCAGTCAACAAGAATGGGTTCACACCGTTTGCTAATGGTAGATGTCAAACTTATCAAACGTTATATTTTTAATTGGCTCATAATAAATTTTCTTTTGCGTTTTATTTTAAGCTGAACCATCATACATTATTATTTTTTTATTTTGTGCTTCTCTTCTCTTCTCTTCTCTTCTCTTCTCTTCTCTTCTCTTCTCATATCTTAAGTAAAAATATTTAAAATACGGAAAATCAACATTTACAATTATCCATGGACACTGGACAGAGGTTTCAGTTAGTTACGAAGAGAATAAGTGTTATCAAAAATCTAAAAAAAAATAAAATATTCCACTCCAATTGTTATGAAAATAGTATCCAAGAATATTTCAGGAAGGATTCCTCGACAGCAGAAGTTATTTTAGCTCTGGCTAATATTTGTTCCCTGAGATTATTATAGTATCTCCAGGATCAGGTTTTAACTGTCTCATTTAGGTAAAGTTTTCACTCCTTCTTGGAGTCCTTGGAGTCCATTCCGAATTATTCTACTCCAAGATACATTCAGAAATCGGAGGTAAATCCAGTCGTCCAGTACCTTTAAGGTAAGAACAAATCATGAGTCTTCAGGTTCAAAAATGCTTAACTAAACACTATATTTATCATTTATATTTGTCTAAAGCAAAATTACATTCAACAATATAAAAGTTTACAAACTAATACTCTTTTCTCTGGATATCGCATTTTAAAATTTACAGGGTTTGCCAAAAAAGGTGCAAAACAAGACTTTTAGCATGAGTATAGTTTAGCTATTCAGAGGTGGTTTTCAGAAAAGGGGTTTCTTGATCCAAGTCTAGTGTTTTTCGTTTTCTAAAAATGTGGTATGATGACAGTACAGCAAGGCTTGATAGATTTTCACACATTGCTTTGAAACTAACACTGGGTTTGCAGAACTTATGAAGTTTCTTTAGAATCGCCTTATTTGATGGTGAGATATATCCTCTTGAGCCGATTTCAAAAGGATGAACAGACAAATCCCTAGTTGTTATATCTGTAATAAAATGTTCATACTGTTCATTTTTTGAGCGTTGCCATTTTTGATATTTGTTTCCAATGGGACAGTAAGCTCAAAAATATCCATCTTTTCCTCCATTCTATCGATAATTACTAGATCTGGTTTCTCTGCGGTCACAAGGACGTGGGGGGGAACAGTACCTCCCCCTGGAAGGGTATAGGACGGGATGTCGGCATACATCAGAAATCGGTCAATATCAATTAATCCAGTTATATATTTAATAAGATTGTTGTGCCTCCAAGTATATCTTTTTTGGTGTAGTGCAACCTTGCAGCCATTCAAAATATGGTTTGTAGTTTCTTGTCTTCTACCTTGCAATTCAGCGCCTGCCTGTAGACATAGTTTACAGAGATCTGATGCAGATTTTCCCCATTGTAGAAGGTTAGTTTGTGTTGGCAGGGTGTCCAAACAGGAGTTAAGTAGGAATTTCAGTGTACCTTTCTTCAGATTGAACACTAACATGGATGATTTCCAGATCATGTCAGATTTGTCAAGCATTGCCAGGCAGAGAAAATGTCCTTGTTTTATGAGTGTTTCTGTATGTTCTCTCCAGAAAGTTTCGTTTTCAAAAGATACATTTTCACTGACAGTTGTTTTCATTTTTTTATAGCATTTATGTTTGGAAGCTTGGTCTTCCCACTCAGGCATTTCTGCTTGACCATAGTTCTCTAATGTGGCTTGTTGAAACATTTTTTCTGCATAGTCTGTGATGGAATTTTTGTGGTGCCAATTTTTTTCAGTGAATGTGTCTAGTTTCTTCAGATGACTCTGTGATATTGTATGAACAGTGAGCAGAAATCGAATAGAAGAAATGAAATAATGTTTGTAGATCCAGACTTTATATTCATCTTGAATAAGTAGTGCATTAATGTTTATTATTTTTTTTTCAAATTCACTCTTGATGTAATCGAACGCATTACTAAGTTTACCAGTAGGAAATAGAAGTTTGCCAAGGAATTTTTGCTCTTCTTGAAATATATTTGGAATTTCAGTTTCACCAATAGTAAAGTTTATTCTGCTAGGTACACCTGATCTGATGGAAAATGATCTACATTTTGCTGGTTTTAATCTCATTCCCATACTTTCAATCTTGGATTTTATTTCATTTTGAATTTTTTGATGTTTTCTCAGATCTGTTGTTATCAGGCAAAAATCGTCAGCATAGGGCAAAGTAATAATTTTCTCTTCATTCAGATTAAATCCACAATCATTCTTACTCTGTAGAAATTCAATGATTGGATTGAAAACCATCAGAAATATGATGGGACTAAGCGGGTCACCTTGAAATACTCCTCTTTTAAAGGGGAATCCATCAGTAGAGAAGTTGTCCATATATAACAAGAAACAAAACTAATACAAGAAATCAAACCACTTTTTGGAGAAGCAAACATCTTGACAAAACTAAATTGTACAACGTAACATTGTAACAAGTATCCATAAACCTTTCAGAAATATATTTTTCAAGTGTCCTGAAAATTTGTTTATGTATAATTAGTAATCCTAAGCAGAAGTTTATTAAAAAATACTAAGACCATAAGAACATGGTTTACTTCTAGTAAAATTCTACACCCAAAAAAATGGGATATTTTTGATGGAGAGTTTGTTTTAAACCAGCAGATATTCTATAGGTTTCGGACACATTCAAAGTCTTCAACCTCTTCCCGGCTATCCTCAATATCTCCAGGAGTCCGGAATCAGTCAACTCATCACAATCTCCCAGGTTCAGGTTCTCCAACATAGGGAGAGATTTTACTCCGTCTTCTAGACCAATTCCTGTTACACTTGTACAAGATTACATCCAGATGTACCAGTTTACTCCCACATATCCTCAATATCTCCACCAGTCCTTCATCGAACAATTCAGAACATGTATTCAGGATCAGAGTTTCAAGGTTTGGTAGAGATTTTACTTCTTCCTCCCAACCCATCCCTGATACACAGGAACAGGATACATCCAGATATCTGAGCTTACTCCCAGATATACTCAGTATCTCCACCAATCCTTCATTTGCCAAATTAAAACAATGAGATAACTTCAGTGTCGCCAGGTTTGGTAGAGCTTTTACTCCTTCCTTCACACCAATCCCGGTTATGCAACTGTCTGACATATTCAAATCTTTAAGTTCGCTCCTAGATATTCTCAGTATCTCGATCAGCCCGTTATCCATCAGTTTATCACAATTTCTAAGTTTCAATGTTTTCAGAGCTGGGAACTTTTGAATGGTGGATATCGGGATTAAGGCTTAATCCACTCTTTTTCTTAATCACCAGATTAACATAATCTTGCAAGATTATCTTAAAAGTGTATGAAAAACGATAAAATTCAAATTGATATTTAATCATCTGAGAAACTGTAGCAGCCAATCAGAGAAAAGCGGGCAACCAATGAGAGAACAGAAATATTCTCATTGGAGAAAACAATTAACGGATATCCAAGGAGAGAGAAAAAGAGTGGATTAAGGACTAAAATGAAAAGTTTCCACAGTGGATATTCGGATCAAGAAGTCAGGATTAAAGTTTATCCATTCTAAAGTTTTCAGTTCAGGAATATCTGAAAATGCAAAAGCACGCTCACTGACACAAAACAAAAATTGACATTTACACATTTTAAAATTTTAAAGATACTTATTTTTCCCTCCCTGCTGATTTGTTAAAGCATATTAAAGTATCTGCTGGAAAACAAGTTACAATGAAATTAGTCTCCAGAAAAGGGGGGGCAAAAGATACTCTTAACCCCCCCCTGAATCCGCGCCTGAGTACTGCTTTATCTCTCCTTCAAACAAAACTAGCAGAAAAAAACAGCAAACTAGTTTGTTTATGCTCTTCACTCTTAAGTTTTATATTTGAAAAGTGTGATGTAGCTCTGAGTTCTATGGGGGGGGGGCCCCCCTACAGGTGGGGCACTGCCTCCCTTTCCGCCCCCTTTGTACGCCCTTGAATTGCCAGGATTAAACACTTTCAAGTAGAAAAACGACGATATTTTCCACTTTATTGATCAGATACAGGTAAATGGGTAGCTATTGTGAAATGCCTTCAAAATGGAGAGTTACTTGGATCAACTTCCACAGTCAATTAAACGAATTACAATACAGTCTCTATTTTGGGTTGAAGACTGAAGTCTGAAGAAATTCAGAGGTTTATATTACAATTTATAACAAATTGAATATTTAAAATAAAGAGCATCACTGCCAAATAATATTCTTTAAAACATGGTTAAAGTTTTTATGCCACTGCATTCAAATACGTCCATGCACAGGTTTTTGAAGAAAAAAATATATTGAATCATTGGAGCTGAACTGCGGGAGAGGTCCCACGAAAAGCTTACTCTGGTCTGTTTGGCCAATTAAATGGTTAGAAACGTATTTCAAGTGAGCCTCCATTTTATAGTAATGGTAAGTCCGGTTCACAACAGTACTCTTAAAAGAGCTAGAAAACCGACTTTATCTTTTACCTAGTTGTAAAGATTTTAAGGGTATCGTTGTGAATTTGGCATTCCCTCTTCGAATGGAGGTTAACTTGAAATTACACCAGAACAGTCCCTTTAATTGGATTCAAACAAGCCAAAAAACCAAAAGACTAAAAGACAAGTAATAAAAATATATAAAGATTCTTTATAACAGCAGTAAATATTCTAGATCTATAAGCTACAATCATAGTCTTCAATCTGTTCCCCGCTATCCTCAGTATCTCCAGGAGACCTGTATCCTCAGTATCCTCAGTATCCTCAGTATCCTCAGTATCCTCAGTATCCTCAGTATCCTCAGTATCCTCAGTATCTCCAGGAGACCTGTATCAATATAAAACCATCCCAGCATAAGGAATGATGTTACTCTATCCTTTAATCCAATCCTTATCATTCTAGTCTTTGATACATTTATAATCTTGAGTTTACTTCCAGATATTCTCAGTCCTCCGTCTTTCAATTCAACACAATAAGACAAATCTAGTGTTTCCAGACTAGGGAGAAAGCTTAATACTTCCTCTAGACCAATCCCTATTATTCTAGTTCTAGATACATTTAGAACTCGGAGTTTGTTCTTAGACATTCTCCACCAGTCCTCTATCTATCAGTTCATCACAAAGAGACAACTCCAGTGTTTCTAGGTTGGATAGAGATTTTACCCCTTTCTCAAACCCAATCCCTGTAATTCTAGTTCTTGATAGAATTACAAGTCTGAGTTTACTCCCAGAAATTCTTAGAACCTTAGCAAGTCTAGTATTTGTCAATTTATCACAGCAAGACAAAGGAATTGAGTTTTTACAACAAACTCAAACCTTCTGATACCAATATCTTTGCAACCTGATGGTGCAAACCTTTCATATTTCAAACTTAGATTATTTTATCTATAAGTATTAATAGTTTGAAATATCTAAGGTCTACGACATTGGTTTTACAAAGATATAGAGATTAGAAAATCAGAGTTTGTGGCAAAAACTCAACTCCTTTAGTATTTCTAGGTTTGGAAGAGAGATTAATCTTTTCTCTAAACCAATCCCTGTTATATTACTCACGGACACATCAAGATATCTAAGTTTACTCCCAGATATTTTCAGAATCTCCACCACTCCTCCATCCGTCAATTTATCACAGCAAGACAAGTTCAATCTTTCTAGGTTTGGTAGCGAATTTACTCCTCTCTCTAATCCAATTCCTACTATTCTAGTTCTAGATAGATTTAGAACTCTGAGGTTATTCCCAGATATTCTGAGGATCTCAATCAGTCCTTCAGATGTCAGTTTACGACAATAAGCAAGGTTTAGTGTCTCCAGGTTTGGTAGAGAATTAACTCCTAAACCACTCCCTGTTATCCTAGTATTAGATAAATCTAGAACCCTGAGTTTATTCTCAGATATTCTCAGAATCTCCACCAGTCCTTCATTTGTCAGTTTCTGACAATAAGCCAGGTTCAGTGTCTCTAGGTTTGAAAGAGAGTTTACTCCTTCCTCTAAACCAATCCCTGTTATGCTGGAACCAAATAAATCTAATTCTCTCAGATTACTTTTGGATCTTCTAAGTATCTCAATCAGTCCATTATTTGACAAACAACGCCGTAGTTTCAGTTTCTCCAGCTTCTCTAAGATCAGGAGAGTGCCAGGAATGGACAGACAATGCAATATATCTCTTGACACATCAAAGATAGTAATAGATCTTAGATTGAGATGAGAGAATACTGTTGGCACGATTTCATCTTCATTCTCGGCACTGTAAACCCCTAAGTTGATAGTTTCCAGTTCCTGGTGTTTCTCCACCAAGTATTTGAACACTGGACCACAACCGGAAGTAGAAAGATAAGGGATTTCCAACTCTAAAACAAAACATATATTACATTTTTATAAAGTTAGAAACAATTATTTTTCTCAGGAGAAAGACAAAGTAAAATTTTTTTCAGAAAATCTGGTATTTATGTCGTCTTCCTCTGATTAAAAACTTTGTCAAATACATTTGTTAAGTAACATCAGACAAATAAGCAAAATATTGTAATTGTAAGGTGTTGGTTTTTTATGATAAATTGATTGATTAGTTGAAACTGTGCTGTTTCATACACTGTTTATACCTTGAATTGTACATATCTCGTCAGCTATTCTTCTCAGCTTGGTAGAGTCTACTATTTCATCTATCGTCCAAACTTTAAAAGTATTCTCCAATTCATCCATCCGTCTCCGCAAGGTTGTACTTGATTCTCTCAGTGATATCTTGTCCTTCTTACTCAATAACTAAAATATCACATAAAATTTTTATTTACCTAAAAATAGAAAATTACTGAAAGCATATTAACAAATTTATTTATTCTTCTATCGTAGGCACACATCCTCTGGAAACAAATTTTGGTATATCCTTGGAACCGTATAATCAATGGCATTCACCTCAAATAGGTGTACAAAATCAGAAAACTCCTTCTTGCAAAATATTTACAATTTACAAAATATTCCTTAAATTATAATTTTGGAAAACCTTTTCAATTTAAATTTAAACAAAATTTAACCAGAAATAGATTTTCATCAGTTTGAACAGTATAATGTATGATTTTTTTTTCTCTATCTGGTCATTGAATGGTGGTCAGGGATAGTTATTGGCAGTCAAAAATATGTTTTTGCATGTGATATGCCTAATTACAGGTAAGAATACACAGGAAGTTCATTATTTTTTAATTTTTTATTCAGGTTATGAACTCCCAGGTGGTCATAAATGTTTGTCTAGGGTGGCCATAGGTCATATATATTGGTATGTATATACAAGTTTTCAAAATGTAGGTGAGTGGGGTCTTTTGGCGGGATAAACACCATTTCTCTACATTTATAGGGGAGATGTTTAATGTTGATTAGAGGGGCACCAAAGAAGTTTCCTGCGCTTAAGTAGGTTTGAAATTATAAAAAAATAGTATGCGTTTCGAAAAATATTTTATTACAAATTTCAAATATAAAGTTGGCAAAAACAAATAATTTATTTCTTTTTTTGTTTGCTGATTAATTAGTATCTAAGGAAAGATAAATTGAATGGTGGCTTCAAACCAGTTCAAAGCATTTAGTAAGCTTAGCTAAAGATTTAACGAGTGCTTTGAAATAAAATCTTGCTTATTCTGATTTATTAAAGGTAGTTGAACTGAGTATGCAGTGTTGTGGAAAACTTTTTTTTTAGATTTTACACTTTTTAAAGATCTGTTAATGTTAAGTGTTAGAAATGGGCCAAATCTGCAAAGTTATATTTTTCAAGAGTATAAATCTTTAAATCCCCGACGAGTAGAACAAAATTACACCATATATTTATAAAAAACTTTATATAAAAATATAAACTGAAATAATAAATGTCAATTTTAAACTTACAATAAGGTGTGAGAATTAGTATTTGATGATTCTTGATTTCATTTTCGATTTTGAAACAATTACCGGATTTCAGCTTATGTCGTGTTTTCGGAACATATCTTGGTTTGAGACAATTACCGGATTTTAGCTCATTTCGCGTTTTCGGAACATATCCTGGTTTTGAGACAATTTCCGGAATTCATATCAATGTCAATTTTCAAGTATTTACGCACTTATGAAGCAAGACAAGATTATTTGATAAGCTAAAATATAAACAAAATAGTAAATAAAAACAAACTGTTCTTTTATAATTTAAAAATCATTTCAGCATTTAGAAATCAAAATA